AATAAAACAATTAAAAAAAAATCCACTGCTTGACACTTCAACCTTCATGGAGTAGTACACCTGAGGAAAAAGAAGTTATTTTTAATCTGTTTCTGCTCTTTACTTGTTTTGTAGCTTTAGGAAAATTCCTTTACTTCTTTGTTTCACTTTTTTCATTTGAGGAAAAAAAAGCTGATTAAAAATACTGGTATTTACCTACCTTCATTATTGAGGGAAGGTGGAAAAGGGAGGGTAAACCAGCAACTATTTCACTGTATCACATTTAAACTTGAAACATACTTTAATGTCCAGTCCTACAAATACATACACTCAAGTTTACTGCTTTTTACACTAAATACTCACTAAGTGGCAGCTGATATTTAAGTGACTGAGCTTTTAACTCTGTACAATTGTTTCTTCACTGAATACAGGAAAAATGCACATAATTTAGATCTTAAAATATTTGACATAAAGCAGTCATAAAAAGCATTCTGTATATCATAATTTCTATGGAAAGAAAAGTATTCTGATCCCACATCAGAATCCAAGAACACTGAATTTTGTTTTCTGTGAAAACGTCACAGCATAGGTACATAAATTAAAGTTATGGAATTCTAATGCAAGAGCAAACCTAAAAACCTCTGGATTGGTAAAAATTAGTAACTAAAACCACTTAGTTATCTCTTATGTAATTTCTAATGTTGAAAATTCTATTTTCATTATACCTTTAAAAAAGGAAAGAGAAAAGTTATAAAGTTACTAGTAAACATACTACAGTACTGAATGTCATGTTTTTTGGAGGGTTTTCTTGGGATAACTAAAATGCAATTTCTTTAAAACAAAACATTAAATAGTTTTCTAATTTCTGATATATATTTATATATATATATTACAACTACTTTGTATGACACAGTTAATAACAGTATTATTTACCTATGAATTATTTGCTTTTTTAAAAAAACATAATGTAACACAATGGTAAATCTACATTATTCCTACCTAAAATGTACATACACTTTAGCAATTTTATTTCTGATTTTACCTTGATTACAAATATTTCCCTAAGAAGTTACATTTGAAACTGTGAGAAGACATATGCTGAAACAACCTGTGACTACAAATCACAGATGCAGTACTAAATACTGTATTAGTGATTCATTAAGAGCTGTCCCCCTAATGCACTAAGGTAGCTCTATACAATAGACAGTAGTAGTAAAGAACAGATACTTTGAGAAAAATATTCTCTTTGCCCTTCCTTATTGTATATCACAAAAACACAATGAGGAGCCAAATTTATTCTTAGTACTTTCTCCTTGCACAATGGAAAGTGTCTTTCTGTGAAATTATATTGACCTCTAGCTGTAAGGACACATTCACTGAAGTTCTTTCACCATGATTTTCTGAATTAGATCAGAGATTATTCAGCTAGCTCAATTTTCTATTTCCAGTAATAGGTTGTTGGAAGCATATAGGAAAAACAGAAAAAAAATTGAATTGAAAATATATATTCCAAATGGTAATTCTTCATTCTCTGAAAAATAAGCATGTACTAGTTGTACCTTCTGGGCAGCATGGTCAATAGGATTCCTGTAAAAAGAGTTAAATTATTTATAATCCTCACTAAAATCACTAAAGGTATTTTTACAGAAGTATAAAATTTGTAGTGCTATTTTGAATTTGATAACAAAGTAAAATTTTATCAGTTCAATAGTAATCCCAAATATTATAATTCACTGTATAATACACTATATATTTCACTACAATTAATTCTATACATTCCAAAACACAGATAGAAGTGCTAATTGATGTTTAAAAAAAAAAAAGGTAATGAAAATAAGCACAAAGATCCTTAAAATTAAATAGTTTTTTACAGTAACTTCTCAATCTTGTTTTTAGTTTATCTAATTATTTTCTGATACTGCTGGAAAAAATTACCTTGGTATGTACACATTTGGCCTGTACTCAAAATAACTTTCCTATGTTCTCATGTATGAGAAAAAAATATTTTATTCAAATATGGATGACATAATATATCTTAGGTTTACAGTTAGGGCAAAACGCAACCTAATAAATACTCTGAATGATTGACAGGAGAATTTTGCATGACAATATCGTCTATTCTGATCATCAAATATATGGTACGAAGCATTTTGAGAGGGATCTACTAGGTTAAGCAAAGTCCACAAAACCAAATAAAACACCTAACAATTGTAGGCAAGAAAATTTGGCCCAAATGATCATAAAAATACATATTTACTAAAGTTAATTTATATTTTTTCAAAATTGTCTGAAAAATATTACAATAGTCTCTTTGAAATTGCTTATAAAGTAATGTAAAGTATATAATGTTTTCTGCCACATTGCTCAGAATGCTTTTTTGTCCTGTGGCTTCTTCATGAATAGTTTAAGAAGTCCTGTTCCCTGGTCCTATTCTGCAGATGGATTAGTTTACAATTTCATTAATTTTTCTGCAAACATGGTGCAATACCTGATTAAAAATATACCGTTTGGCTGACATTCCTGAACACAGAAATATGTGAAAGAAAAGAAGAGTGCAAATACAGACCAAGAAAATTCCATAAATAAATAAATACATACATACATAAAATACAATATTTTGAAGCAGTTGCCTATGTCTAGAGAGGATTCCCAGAATATGCCGGAGACTAACATGTGCAAATGAAAAATGCTAGATAGTATGATGAATTTTCACAAGGACTTCAAAAATACTCGTGTGGCTGTATTATATTGTTCTATCGTATTATATTGTTCTATGGTATAAGTCAGTTAATAGAGATCTGGGTAAATAAGTCAAGGACACATTTTGACACAAAAAGCACAATAACAGTGCAGTCATGCTGAAGCACAGCTAGGAATGAACATTAGGAACACAGCAGAGACACAGAAGTTGACTATAGCAAAGAGCAATGAAGAAGCTGGGACAAAAATTTAATATGCAGTGTTAGCCTCAAGCAAAAACTGAAACCATGCTAGTTATATTTTCCCATTCTTGTAAAGGGCATTATCAAAACCAGAATATACCAACAAAGCAGAAGTCTGCATTCATACTGATCCATAACGTCAGTCATCTTATTTAACTTTAAACAGCAAATACACAATATCAAACAGGGGCAGCCCTAACCTTGGGGTCTGTAACCACCAGAACTTTATAACCCTTAGTAAAATCTTTCTAAGGCTTATTTCCCTCCTGCACTCAGTATGGAGAGCATGTGTTAGCACCATGTCTGGCACCATAACACACCAAAACGGGAAGAGGAAGAGGCAGCACACGTGGGAACACGAAGTACACTGCACCTGCCCAGTAGTCCTCAGCAGAAATCCCCACCAGGAAAAAAGCATTGGAGATGCCACTGGTGACAAATCAAAATACAAATATAATCTCTATAAATTAATAATGTCAGTAACTCTCAAGTCTGCCTGAAATAATAATGGACACCTAGTAAATTGGATTTTTTTTTTCCTTTCAAATGTTATAGTGGGAGGGATGTAAAATATGTACTATGGTGTTTTCTGCTAGATTGAATAAGTACACGTGCTTTTATTTCTTAGTATTAATAAAGAGTATAAAAAATAGACAAAACAAAATCCTAAACAACCAGAACAGTCTCTGTGGTTCAATACTCATGATTTCTGCTCATTCACTCAATTACTCCGTATCACTGTGGAGCATGAATAATCAGTGAGGTCTGAAAACATACATGGTCAACACAGTTCCATACAGATACACATATTTCCTTAGAAAGATCAATGAGCAAGTATGTTAACAGGTGCTTACACTCCAAGACATTGGAAGAATAACTTCAATAAACAGACCATTGTGTGTCCTGAAAATGGTAAAGACAGACAAGGTCTTCAGAAGTTACCTTATTACAGCATTTTGGAAATCATAATAAGGTCTTAAGAAATCAAAATATTTTTCATCATTAATGTTAATTAGAGAATTTCATAGAATTCATAAATAAAAGTGGGTTTTGGGGGGGGTTTGGGGGTGCTTTTTTTCCCCCACAACCTCATCACCAGCATAAAGCTAAAACACAAGTGACAAAACCTCAGCAGAGACTTTGATAGGTACAGCTCAGGTACAGCTGACTTTGTGATTTTATCCACATAAAAACCACATTCCCTAAATTAAGAATTTAACATTTCACAGAAAAACACCTTTTATTTTGAATACTGATAGCAGTCTAGTTCTCGGTCATTGTCAAAGGAAACAAAACTGTTCTACACAGGTGTCCAAGTAAAATTACC